TCTGGAGGGAACTTGGGGGAGTTGGGGCTTCCCCGCGGGGCGATGCACTGGGGTCACTTGAAGTGATGTGGAGTCTGTGATGACGTAGGAGAATCTCACGTGTGCTCCGTTACCGAGTTAAACACTAGGATGAGAACTTCGCGTTCCTCCATGCCGTCTGCTCAGGACACCCGAGTCACAAGGCCAACCCTAAGGGACTGCCCATCCCTCCCCACCTCTGGGCTGAGGCTCCTGCTGCCGGGTTTCCTCTCTGGCTTTTCCTGAACCACCCCCTCCCCGGAGTCCTGGATCTCTCCCCGCTTTCTCGTCGGCCCAGCCTCTCTCCTGTCCCCTCGTCCTGTGGCACAGACCACTCCTCCGGGGGAGCAGCTGACCCGTCAGTGTGATTCCCCAGGTCCTGGGATGTGCTTGGCTTTCTGTGCAGTGGCCCGGCCAAGCTGCCCTGGGGGACCCAGGGGCCCTCCTCACACCAGCGGGGCTCCATCTGGGGTGCAGACCTCCCAGGCCTGCCACCTGTGAGCTGCCCAGAGGTGGAGGGCACTCGGAGCAGGGTTTGCAGCCTTGACCCGGAACGTTCTTTTTTTGGAGGTCTTGTAGGCCGGCCAGGTAGCCCCCCAGGAGGTCATCTCTATGCAGGCGTTAGGAGGCCTACTGCCCAAGAGGCATGCAGATGAGTTCAGAGTCTAGGGGGCTGCGGGGCAGGAGGCAGGTTGGCCCTTGGCACCGCCCTGGAGCCCCTGCTCGGGCAGGCTGGACTTGGGAGGGCCCCAAGTGGATGCGGGCCCTTGGGTCTCACCTGCCCCGCCACCCACTTCTGCCTCTTTCCCCCCGAGACCTCTGGGCTCCTCGGCCCCACCCTCCCTGCTTCCTCCCCCAGGCCCCGGGCGCAGCTCTTCTTGGCCTTCCTGGGCACTCCCAGCACAGTTCTCTCCCCTCTGCCCGCCTGTTAGGGTTGCGCGGGTGCCCAGGGCACAGCTGCGTCCTGTGCATACGGCAGCCGGGGTCAGTGGGAGGAGCCGGCAGCCTGAGCTGGAGGACAGGCCTGCACCGGGGCCCTGGGGCTAGGTCAGGAAGCCTCTGAGGCTCTTGGGGTGCTGGGGAGGCCCCTGGCTTCCCCCAAGCCTGTCTGCCCGGCTGGAGACTGAAGTGACTTGGTGTCCCTGCCTGGTCCCTTGCAGCCCCGATTCTGTGCAAGTCACAGGCCGCGTTGCTGACTCCTCGGTCCTTTGTGAGCGTCCAGGGAAGGCGGGGAGGGTGTGCAGAGCCCAGGCGAGGAATCTGGCGCTGGAGCCCCGGTCCCAGTCCCACGCCAGGGTCCCTGGGCCGCCTTGCGCATGGCTGGTTACATATTCCAACTGTCCCTGCGGGTGTGGGCATGGGATGAGTGTAGGTCTCCACTCAGCCACCCAGAGCCTGAGCCTCTCTGTTCCCCCCCTCCAGAGGCGCCTGGTCCCCGGGGCTGAGCAGGGCTCGGGCTGTGCGTCTCGCAGCCTGCTCTCCTGCCCTGGTGTTTCCTGGCTGCTTGCTTTCCCCAGGGAGGTTTCGTCTCCATCCTTGGAGTGGAGGGGCCTTGACTGAAGGGCGGGGTCCGTGAAGGCTACAGGTGGGCCTGGGGCCTTGGAATGATCCCGAGGCCTGGGATCCCGAGCGGGCCACTGGGTGGCCCGGTGGAGGTGGAGACCTGGTGGGTCTGCTGTGAGGACCGGGACCAGTCTGGGTCGCTGCCCTCCACCCGCCTGTCTCAAAGCCGGCCCTGGGCCCCACGGAGAGGACGTTGCAGCCACCCTCCTCTGTGCAGGGAGCCGCGCTCCTCGGTGGCTCACACTGTGGCACCTAGGGTGGTGTGGAGTGGCCAGCCAGCCAGGAGCCCCGGCCCCTCCAGGAAGAGGCTCTCCTCAGACCCTGGTATGCCGGGCTCAGGCTGATCAGTGGGCCTCAGCAGTGCCCCGTGCCCATGGGGGCATCTCCTGTCCGTGCCCTCCCCGGGACCCCACTCCCTGGGCCCTGCTTCCCAGCTGCCCTTGAGAGCAGACTGCCTTTCTGTGAGCCAGCTGCTTCGGTTCGGTTTCCTTAAGATCAGCAGGAGTATGCTCAGCTCTGGGCTGCAAGGAAGGTTCAGGAGCTGGTGTTAAGTGCCTGGGGCTTCCCTGGTAGCTCATCTGGTAAAGAATCCGCCTGCAATGCAGGAAAACCCCAGTTTCTAATTCCTTGGTGTGAAAGATTCCCTGGAAGAGAGAAAGGTTACCCACACCAGTATTCTTGAGTTTCCCTGGTGGCTGAGACAGGAAAGAATGCGCCTGCGATGCGGGAGATCTGGGTTTGGTCCCTGGGTCGGGAAGATCCCCTGGAGGAGGACATGGCAACCCACTCCAGTATTCCTGCCTGGAGAATTCCCACGGACAGAGGAGCCTGGCGGGCTGCAGCCCATGGGGTCGCAAAGAGTCGGACAAGACTGAGCGATTAAACACACGTTATGCCAGGCCCAGCGTCCAGGGCTCCATGAATTATCCAGTAGGCAGTTGCGGTCGGTCTCGGTGACCTCATCCACCCGCTGGCAGCCTGGAGCTTCAGTGGCGGTCGGCGGGGTCAGCTGAGATCCTGCAGAGGAGCCGTCAGGCATGCGGGCAAGCTCTGGGCACACTGAGGCCGCCACTGCACCCCAGCCGCCCCCCAGTGCCCACGCAGGCAGCCGCCCAGCCGGGACGGAGCCCCCGCCTACTGCCTGGGGGCAGGCACCTTGAGGGGCGGGCCGAGCCGTGGCCCCCAGCCCCACCAGCACCGCCGCCCTTGGTGGAGGTCCGGCTCCCTGCTGTCCTGCTCTAGCCTGTCCCTCATCTGGGTCTTCCTGTCAGGCCCTGCTGCCACACACCCTGCCCGTGTTGCCAGCATGTCCCTTGCCTCCCCGGGACCTGCACGCAGCCCTCTCTGGGTGGGTCCGAGGGCTCTGCTGCAGGAGGGGCAGGACGTGGCCGCTTCCCTTCCTCCCCACACGTGGCGCCCTCTGACGCCTGGTCACTCGGGGGGCTTCCCATCTCTGCAGGGGCTCCCATGGGAGGCGCTCCCGCCCCGCCTGGTGACAGGATGAGGCTCACCCTTCCCAGATGCCCCGCTCAGTGCAGCCCACGGAGGCAGAGGCAGGCTTGTGGGCTTGCTCACCACCTGCCCGCCTGTGGCCCCGCGTCCCGGGCATGTACCCAGGGCTTGCAGTAGCTGCTTTCCTCCTGACCTTCCGTGCACTCCGCCTGATTTCTTTTGGCCTCCTGACTTTCTGAAGTCTCTGGCGTTAAGGTTCTGCCCACGTGTCCTCACCCAGCCTGGGGTTAGTAGGGAGGAGCCCTTGTGTGAGGTGATGGGAACCAGGCCCGTCCTGTGTCCCGGGGGTGGGGGGCTCTGCCCCCACCCCAGGAGGCTGGGTCAGGGCCGCGGCCTCCAGGCTGCCTGCCCCTCGCTGCCCTCGGCTTCCCGTGGCCACCGAGAGCAGGTCCAGCCAGCTGTGCACCCGGAGTTGTGATGGTGACGCCCCGGACCGGGCGGGCCCCGCCGGGAGGAGCAGCATGTGGGAAGCGGGCGCAGGGAGGGCAGCCTCGGAGGGCGAGGCGGGCGGATGGCGCCTCCACATGACTGGGTGGGTGGCGGGCGACTCCTTGGTGCCACTGGGCAAGTGTCCTGATTGAGGCCTCGCTGCCTGCAGTGACCCCGTGGGCTGGCAACGGTGGGAGGCCAGCCACCCCCCCCCNCCCCCCCCCCCCCCCCGGCGACACTGTGCCCTCCATGGAGCGTCTGCGTGCACCCCGGCTTACCTCACACATCTCTCTCTCCTCCCCCAAGTGTGTCTCCGTCACTGGCCCCGTGCAGACCGTGGCAGGGACCGTGGGGATGCCTGCAGCGGCGTGGGGGAGCGTGGGCCTTTCCTGGGTCTCACACGGCTGTCTGCGATGCCCTTATGGCCCCTGCTCTCATACCTGGGGCGGGCTGCTCACCCAAGCCGCTGCAGAAGCTGCGCCTGACGGTAGGAGACGCAGCATTGGGACCCTGGGCAGGCCCCCCCGGCGGGCCCCCCGTGTCCACTGCAAGCCGGTGGCCAGGCTGCAGGCTGCAGGACTCGGCCCTGCGGGTTTGGAGCTCCTCGCTTCCCTGGAAGGCTCAGGGCTGGGGGTGGCCTGGCTTCCCCCCAACCCAGGGTGCCATGGACAGTCCAGCTGCCTGGGACACAGCACCGTGGGCCCCACACACAGGAGGCAGCGTGGGGCCCATCCTTCCTGGGCACAAGTTTCTCCAGGGTGCTGGCCACAGGGCCTGCCCCGGAGACGCAGTTCCTAAGGTCCAGCACCCAGCCCCAGGCAGCTCAAAGGCGTGAGCTTTTTCTTTTTACTGCCCACCTCAGCCGTGCTGGCCGTCATCCTCTCCCTGACTGGGCCAGAGTGGGGGTGCTGGCTACGGACTGGGTGCTGCCCACAGGCTAAGCATGGCACAGGGCCGGGGGGGCTCGGCGGTGAGGCTCCCACCCAGCCGGCAGACAGTGGGGTCAGCCAGGAGGGAAGTGAAAGGGGTCCCGGCTGCACCAGAATGCTGGGCAGATGTGTGTTGAGGGAAGGCGGCATCCAGCGTCCCCGGGGGTGGCCAGTCACTTTTGGGGGGCACTTGAGACTCTCTGGGCACTGCCGGAGGGGGTGCTATGGATGGCCAGGCCTGGGGCCTGCCTGGCCTGCCCAGCTGCCACAGTTCATGGCAGTTTCCCACTAGGAGTGGGTCCTACCCTACGCTGTCCGTCCCTATGTAGTCAGCACCCATGGGGAGCCCCGTGGGCCCGGGCGTCTCCCGGTCCTGCCATTGGACATGGGCGCATTCTGCGTGCTTCCCTGGGGGGACGACTGGGTCAATGGGGGCCGGTGCTGGCTCTCAAAAGAAGGGGGCACCGAACTGTGCACACGTCCTCCGCTCCCATCCGAGGCTCCGCTCCCAGCGGCCCTCCCCTCATGCCCGCCCGGTCCGTTCCTCAGGGCATCTGGCGGATCCCCGTGGACGAGATCGACCGGCCGGGCAGCTTCGCCTGGCACATGAACCGCTCCGTCGTGCTTCTGCTCAAGGTGCTGGCCCAGCTGCGGGACCACGGCACCCTGCTCAAGGTCTCCTCCATGCTGCAGCGCACCCCGGACCAGGGCAAGTGAGTGCAGCCCTGCCCGGCCGGCCGGAGGCGTCCCGGGGTCGGCCAGGAGTAGCGGGCCGAGCCCACCCCCCACCCCTGGGGCTCAGAGCCTCAGCCCTGGGGACCTGGGACACACACAGTGCTGGGTGTGCAGAAGGAGGCCCCGGGAACACCTCCGGGAGCAGAGGGGCATGCACCGCCGTTGCCGTGTGGCTCTGACGCGTGGTCTCCCCTGCGCGCTGCAGGAAGTATCTGCGAGATGCTGACCGCCAGGTCCTGGCACAGCGGGCGTTCATCCTCACTGTGAAGGTGCTGGAGGACACGCTGAGCGAGCTCACGGAGGTACACGAACCCCCCCCCCCACGCAGTGCCACCCATGGGACCCTCAGCCCACTCCCTCACCCAGCCAGCACCTCCCAGGAGCCGTGCTCACTGTCTGTCTTCATAGCTGGGCACCCAGAGGCCAGTCGCCACCCTAGCAGGCGGGGTGACTGCGAGCCAGGGCTGTCCGGCCACGGTGCCTCCCGCCCAGCGAGCCTGGTTGTGCCCTGGCGGGAGGCCCGGGGGATCTCGTCTCTGCCTCCTGCACACTTGGTGGCGGGGCGGGGCGGCCATGCCTCAGAGGCAGAGCCACCGCCAGGGCCCCTGCAGGCAGCGCTGTGGCTCCAGCCCTGGCTGGCGGGCAGATGGGCAGGACCAGGGTGGCCGTGGTGGGAGAGGCCGAGGTGGGCACACCCTGCACTCGGGGGCAGGAAACACCGGAGACTCTGCGTCTAATCGTTGCTTTCCTTGTAGGGGTCGGAACGCCCCGGGCCCAAGGCCTGCGGCCTCCCCGGAGCCAGAATGACCACGGACGTCTCCCACAAAGCCAGTCCCGAGGACAGCAAGGAGGGTCTCCCGCACCCCAAGAAGCCCCCTCTGGCTGATGGCTCAGGGCCAGGCGCTGAGCCAGGGGGCAAAGTGGGCCCCCTCAACCACCGGCCCCTGGCCATGGACGCGGGGGAGGGCACAGACCAGGCTGGGGAGCGCAGGGACAAGGAGAGCCCCCGGGCCGGCCCCACCGAGCCCATGGACACGGGGGACGCTGCCGCCCGAGGCCCGGACTCCGAGAGGGGGCCGCCGCCCCTGCAGCCAGGCTGCCCCCCGAGGGACCGGGGCCCTGAGAGCCGGCCCGCCGAGCTGTCCCTGGAGGAGCTGAGCATCAGTGCCCGGCTCCCACGGCCCAGCCGCAAGAGGAAGCTCCTGGAGGACACGGAGTCCGGCAAGACGCTCCTGCTGGATGCCTACCGCGTGTGGCAGCAGGGCCAGAAGGGCGTGGCCTACGACCTGGGCCGCATCGAGAGGATCATGTCAGAGACCTACATGCTCATCAAGCAGGTGGGTGGCTGCGGGCGCCCCCCCGCCAACCCAGGAGGCCCCGTGGGAGGGCATCTGGTCGTTCCCAGCCACCCCACGGTTTCCCACTGTGAGCCCCAGAGAGGTTTGGATATGTTACTGCTGCTGCTGCTAAGTCGCTTCAGTCGTGTCCAACTCTGTGCAACCCCATAGACGGCAGCCCACCAGGCTCTGCTGCCCCTGGGATTCTCCAGGCAGGAACACTGGAGTGGGTTTCCATTTCCTTCTCCAATGCATGAAAGTGAAAAGTGAAAGTGAAGTCGCTCAGTCATGTCCGACTCTTTGCGACCCCATGGACTGTAGCCTACCAGGCTCCTCCGTCCATGGGATTCTCCAGGCAAGAGTACTGGAGTGGGGTGCCATTGCCTTCTCCGCTAATATGTTACTGTTTTACTTAACTACACCTCAGAAAAGCTGGTGAAATACGTACTGGAAAAGACAACACCCTTCTAAAACATCTGTAACTACCCTCGAAGGAAAGGAGGCCTTGCAGAAGCCTTATCAGGCCGGGCGCAGGGAGGCTCTGCTACCTGTCTTCTTCTGCTGCCTTTTGTGTTTTTTAATCCCTCAGGCATAGGTTTTTATTTTCCCTCTAATTAGAGGAAAATAGGTTCTTTCCATAGGAAGAGCCCCGGGTTGTGTCAGGCCGGCAAGGTGAGCACCCTGACACTCCCCTCCTGGGCTGTGTCCATGTGCACCCACTGCTTGCAGGCTGTTTTATCACCCCCCTCCAGCATCAGCAGTGCCTTTTTTTATTGTTGCTGATAAACTAGCAAACATAAGCCCTGGATTTCCTGCTGGCGAGGGTGGGCCCTTTTCCCACCACAGGCCAGTCGTCTCCCCCACCCAGGGTCATCCCCAGGCCCCCCCAGCCTCTGCACCCGAAGGTGAAGTCACGCGGCCACAGACGTGAACGTGGCATGGCCAGCTGGTCCTCGAGCAGCAGCCCTGGGGTTTGGGACCTGGGACAGGGCTGGGGTTCCCCCCGGGAAGCAGCCATGGGGGGAGGGGGGGTGCGTCCTGGGAGCAGCCCTTGAGGCCCACTGACCTCGGGTATGTCCTTGCTCAGGTGGACGAGGAGGCCGCCCTGGAGCAGGCCGTGAAGTTCTGTCAGGTCCACCTCGGGGCTGCCGCCCAGAGGCAGGTAAGCGTGGACCCACCCGTGCCAGCCGCCTGGTGCAGGGCGCGAGGCCCCAGGCTGCAGGCCGGGACCGTCCCCGTGGCCGGGGGGCCCGGGGCAAGTGGGCGGCGGGCCGCTGAGCCTCAGGCCCTGAGGGAGCGCCCGACCACCAGCCCGGGTGGGACTCGGACCCCAGCACTGAGTGCGGGCGGCGTGAGGGCCCGTCACCCCCGCAGCTCTCCTCTAAACCAGAGCATGGTCTCCGCCCCGTGAACCTCGTCTGTAGAGGCGGCTCCTCAGCACAGAGGTGGCGCTGTGGTGGGCCGACCGGAGCCCACGGGCGGGGCCCAGCGTCCAGCCAGCCTCCTTCCTCTGTCTGGGAAGACCCCTGCTGCTGGCTGTGGGGGCCGGGCTCGGGCAGGGCCAGCTCACCCCGGAAGGTGGGGCTGGCCGCAGGCTGGTCGCTGGGTCCTGAAGCAGGTACTTGTCGTGGGGTCGGTGTGGCCTTTCAGTCCCCAGGGCTGGCCTGGCCGCCACGCCCCAGCGGCAGGAGGACAGGGACCCCACTCTCACCTTCTGCCCACGGGAGACAGGTCCTGCCTCACCCTCCCTTCTGCTGAAGGTCCACTGGAGTGGCAGGGTCGTCCACACCCATGGAGCCAGGGATGGGGCGTCTCCTGGGGAGCAGATGTCAGGAGAGACGGGGTCAGGGTGGGGCACCGGGTGCCCCCAGCAGGCATGAGGCTCCCACAGCCTCGGGCCAGGGTCCAACCGGTGATTCAGAGAGGATGGTGGGCCTGGGGCCGGGGCTCTGTTGCTGGGCACCACGTGGGGCCCCTGCCACACCTGGCAGCTGCCTGTGCAGAGCCGCAGCCATAACCCCCGCGCGGGGGCTTCAGATGAGCAGGAAACTGTGCCTGCAGGTGGGAGGCCAGAGGGCCCAGCTCCCTGAGGACCGAAGGGCTTTGGGGCCGCAGCCTTGAGCCCGGGAGCAGCCCCCCGCAGAGCCCGCGTCACCCCTGCTCTCAGGCCCCTCCCGTCACTGGCGGGAGTCACCTTCCAGGACTGACCGCTGCAGCCACCGCCTTGGGTGCCCTCGTCCTGTGCCCCGGGTCCCAGCTGCACCACCCTCCCAGCTGGCACCCAGCAGTGGGGGGTGCAGGTCCTGGCCAGCCTAGGGCCTCTCTGCCGTGCCCTGGACGTCCTCAGGCGGGCCCCTGGGCCCCCAGTGGCCCCCGACGTCGGCAGGGTGGGCCCCCTCACACCCACTCTGCCCTCCCAGGCGGCAGGGGACACGCCCACCACCCCGAAGCACCCCAAGGACTCCCGAGAGAGCATCTTCCCCACCACCGCGGCCCCCGCAGCCCCTGAGCCCGTGCTGGTGGATGCCCCGCCACGGCCCAGTGACGGCCACACCAAGCCTCGCCCTGTGCCAGCCGCCGCCTCCACCCCAGACCTGGCCAAGGACGCCGGGCCCCCGCGGCCACACCGGCCCGAGGCCGCCCCCAGCACGTCGTCTCTGCACCCAGGTGAGTCTGGGCTCTCTGCCAGGTGGGCGGGCCTGGTCCCACAGCAGGCCTGTCGCTGCGCGGAGGTGTGGGCGCCTCCTGCCCGGTGACCCCCAAGTGCCGTCTACACCCCCCGCCCACCATGTTCCTCCTCCCACGGAGGCTCAGCAGAGCGCAGGGTCTGGACCCCGGGCTCACGCGCCGTCTTGGCGGTATTCACCCCCGGAGACGGCCACGGGCCAGGGGACGCGGGGCTGGGGCTCTACGGGCAGCAGGAAGCCCTGGTTCCTTCCACACTTAGGTGCCCCTGGGAAGTGCAGCCCACGGTGGGCAGGGGAGCCCGGCCGACCAGGGAGGGCGCATGTTGCAGGACGCACACTCATGCACGCGCGCTTACACGTGCCTCTCCTTGCCGGCTCCGCACACCTGGGCCGGCGCCTAGAGGCAGCGGTCAGCTAGGCAGCTCCCACCCCTGACGGGAGCAGCTCCCGGGGTGGCTCAGCCAGGCCCCCCAGGACAGCTATGTGAGAATAGGTGTGCCCAGCCGGGTGGGAACACCTCAGAACAGCCCCCGGGGCCCCTGCGGAAGGGCCTGGACCAGACGCCCCCCGGGGCCGCTCCCCAGGCCCACGTCGCGGCTGTGTGCCCAGCGTGACCCACTCCTGCGAGGCCCAGCAGGGCAGCTGAACCCCCCATGGGTTGTGCCTGCCCCTGCCGCGTGTGGGCTGGGCCCTGGGAACGCAGAGACGGCTGGCAGTCAGAGCAAGGGGACGGGGCCAGATCCAGGGACTAGAGCCAACGGCCGGGGGCCTGACCCCCGCCCCGGCGAGGAGCAGCTGTGACCCCCGCTCCTGGGGACATGGGGGAGCAGCCGGGTGCTGGGGTGGTGGCGGGCGTGGCAGGAGCGTCCAGAGGAGGAGGACAGGAGGCCCCACGTGGACAGGGGGCCTGGAGACGCACTCCTCGTCCAAAAGGTGTGGCCTGGCAGGAGGGCCACTTGGTCTGCCCCATCCTCAGCTGGGTCGTTCGGGTCCAGTCGCAACTCCTGGGCTCTGGGGTGGGGCCCTGTGAGTCGGGCTCACCGGGTGTCCACGGCCAGCGAGTAGTTAGCAGCCTGGCCCCGCTGGGGCCACTGTGTCGGAGGAGGCCTGCGTTGTCACGGCCACGGTCGGGGTGGAGGGCCCTGTCCCGGCATGGGGCGCGCGTCCCCCACGGCCGCTCTGTCCCCCCAGGGGGAGAGGAGCCGGTGGGAGGCGCAGAGGGCCCGGGCTTCCCGCCCCAGGAGCCGCGGGACAGTGAGCACCTGAAGATGGCTGCGGAGGCCGCCCCTCAGACCAGCACCCAGCCCGCCTGCAGCCAGGGTAAGGCCTGGCATGGCCCCTGGGCCAGCAGGCGGCGGGGGCGTCCCTGCAGAGGGACCTGGAGACAGCAGGGGCGGGGGCAGATGAGAAAGGCAGGGGTGCCCAAGCGCCACCGCTCTCCCCCCCCCCTTTTCACCCTGTGCCTTGCAGACGGGAATGGTTCGGGTGGTGCGGAGCCCAAGTTAGGACGCCTGGCCGAGGAGCAGTTCGCCCGGCCCAGATGGAGCAGGGCGGGGAGGCCGGGGCAGCCAGGCACTGGGGACTTCTGGGGCGGGGCCTCACTCAGACCCTGCTAGGGCAGCCCGCTCCTTTTAAAGCCATGGGGCGGCGGACGTACATGGACAGCAGCCAGCCTGCGGCTCCTGGGCACGTGGGGTCGTGGATGTGGGCCGGGGGCAGGCTCTGGGATGTGAGAGCCGACGAGGCCTGGGAGGATCGGGGCTCCCCTCCACCCCGGGGCCCCCCGCAGACACTCTGCTCCTAGGCGCCCCCTGTCTCCACTTCCACCAGCCAGAGCCAGGCCCTCGGGGAGGCAGGGAGACAGGAAGTGGCCTGGGAGCCTGGGAGCCAGCACCCTGCGGTCTAACCACCAGAGGCGGTGCCTGGGTGCCTCTGTCCCTCGGGGAGCGGGGTGACGAGGCCTGCAAAGGAGAGGGGCAGCCTGGGAGGCCGCGGGCAACCCCGCTCAGCCCTCTGGGTCCGTCCCGCAGTGGCCAGCTCCAAGGCGCCTGGCGGTGGGAGTGCCCCACCCCCCGAGGGCCCCCCGGGCAAGGCTGAGCCTGGCCGGGCCAAGTCACGCCTGCTGCCCAACATGCCGAAGCTGGTCATCCCCTCATCCACCACCAAGTTCCCCCCTGAGATCACTGTCACACCGCCCACCCCGACCCTGCTCTCGCCCAAAGGCAGCATCTCGGAGGAGACCAAGCAGAAGCTGAAGGTGATGGGGTCTGGGGGGGCCCCAGGTGGGGGGCGCGGGTGCAGGTGAGGGCTGGGCCGCCGCTGACCCCTGCCTGCCCGGCCGGCGCAGTCGGCCATCCTGTCCGCGCAGTCGGCTGCCACGGTGCGGAAGGAGAGCTTGTGCCAGCCGGCGCTGGAGGTGCTGGAGACGTCGAGCCAGGAGTCCTCTCTGGAGAGCGAGACGGACGAGGACGAGGACTACATGGACATCTGAGGGCCCGCCCCGGCCCCGCCCGGCCCCCGAGCTCTGCAGGGCCTGCGTCCTTTTTATGACATGTTGACTTTGTAAACGTGCCCCCTCCCCGCCGTGTCCACGTTCCGCAGGCTCTGCCTGGGTCACAGCGGTGGAGGGTCCTTTTTTTTGGTTGCTTTTCTAATAAAGATGAAACAGTCATTTCGGTCTCTTTGTTCCTCAGGGCGGGGTCCCCGTCCAGGCCTTCTGGGCCCCCTCCCCCGGGGCCTGTCAAGGCAAGGTAACACCCCATCCCTGGACGGGGCACAGGGCTGAGGCCATGTGCTCCAGGAGGCTCCAGCTGGGCGCAGGGGCTGGCCTGCACCCCTGCGTGGCAGGAACCTGGAGCATGGGTCTGTGCTGACCACCCCCCCACCACCACACTCCCCCTCCAACGGGACCGCCCCGTGAGCTGTGGGTGCAGTGTGGGACCTCCGGTTACAAAGGTAAGCGTCTGTAACACAACAGCAGGGCGGCGCTGGCCGTGTCGTCCCTGCCTGGAGCCCGTCCATCCTGGGGACGCACACGTTTGAGGGGCCCGGCCTGCCCCGGGGCCTCGTCTGGAAGGCCAGGGTGGCACAGAGACCCTCCCTGCTGCCCTCTGCCCCTCCCCCTCTCGGGGGGACACTCCGTGGCCCCCCCACCCCAGCCTGAGAAGACAGACACCCAAGAGGCTGGGCACTGTCAGGGTCCCCAGCGTGGGCAGAGCCACGCAGGGACCCAGGGCGCTGGGCTGGCCCTGATTTAGGCCCCTTCCCGAGGCTGCAGGGCTGAGGGCCCCCAACCCTGGCCCCCCCACAGTGCATTCCTGGCCTCCCCCGGCCCTCCAGCCAGGGCACCCCCTCCCCCTGTCCACAGACCCCCGTCCTGGTGTCAGCTACACGCTGGCATGCTGGGGTGGTGGTCTGGCTGAAAGACACCAGGGGGTACCCAGGCAGTGGAAAGGCACTCGGTGGGGCTTGGCCGAGGGTACACGCCCCCCCACCCCCTGCCCAGCCAGGTGAAAGGCTGGTGGGGGCTGGTTAACAGGTACCAGGGGGGCTCAGCTGTAGGAAGCTTGAGTGGTCAGCTAAGAGGCTAACCCGATGCTTCTGTTAATACAAGGGGCGCACCTCGGCCAGGGTCGTGTCCGTACAAAACTTAGACTCACAAGTACCTGCCTGACTGGGGCAGTTACGCTAACAGGAGATTCCCAACCTGAAACGAGCAGATTGGGCTTCCTTTAATATTCTCAATTGATATTCTTGCAGTTAGAAAAAGCTGGCCGTACATAAGATCAAACAGACTTGATGGAGTGCTTACTATGACTGATATCTGGAAACTTCTCTTAAAACTATATCAGAACCAAAAACAGGCTGCTGACGGTCTGTCACCTCTCTCCCCCTACATGTATCTTTTTCTACCTGAATTACTTGGTCAGATGCTATCTCATTTTTTTCCTTTCTCTTCCAACTCTTCCACCTCCTGCTATTTGCCTCTGCTCAGCAAAGGAGGAGTAAAGAGAAAAAAAAAAAAAACTTTAAGGAATATTCTGGCTTGACACCCAAATCATTGTTCCCTAACCACCACAATCATCCTTTGCTTGACTCCGCCTTTTAGAAGGTTTAGATGAGGATGTGGCTGCTCTGGTCAGAAAGACGGTCTAGGTTGGTCTGAGCTACATTCTTAGCGCTTGTCAAACTGCTTGACCAGCTTTTCAGAACCACTAAAAGAAAAGGGGGTAGCTACGAAAATATGTACGTCCAGTTGTGCCAACTGAGTCCACAATGCCAGTTGAACGTGAACCAACCCCCAGCCAGTTTAATTCCAACCAGCAGAGAAAGGAACTTGAACACAAAAAGAAAGTCCTGAGGAAATAAGTCCTAGATAGGAGAACCTGATTTGCTCTCCCTGTTGCCTTGAGATCAGAGCTCCCAGGATCACTTAACCTCATCCTGAAACTGAAGAAAGAAAAACAGGGAACGAAGCCTTTAAAAATCTTTCTTACATACTGGTGAATTTTATATTGAGATATTTGATTCATGACTAAGTTGAGAAAATGAGGCTAGATATCTCGTTGTGTCTGGCTGAATGTATGTCTCATATGTGTCTGTTTTTCTCTTTGTAATTCTAATGAAGTTTAATTTGTAAGTGAGCTGTAATTTAATTGGCCTAAAGAAAAGTAAGCGCCTACAAATCAGAAAATTCTAAGTTCAAGAGAAATTAAGCTAAGTGCATTTCAGGTTCATATGAACTAGGAAATATTCAATATTAAATTATACCTGGTATTTAATGTTTGTTGGCCTAATTAATATAGAAATGTGTGCATTCATAAACATCAAATATAAAATTAAGTATAATCCTATCATCTGGCCTAGGTTTATTTTAATATAAGTTAAATAAAATAATATTATATCTGTTACAACTTTGTCAGCAAGGAAATTAATATGAAGAAACTTTTTATTTTTCATTAGCATCTCAGATTTTTTTTTCATTTATTTTTATTAGTTGGAGGCTAATTACTTTACAATATTGTAGTGGGTTTTGTCATACACTGACATGATCAGCCATGGATTTACATGTATTCCCCATCCCGATCCCCCCTCCCACCTCCCTCTCCACCCGATCCCTCTGGGTCTTCCCAGTGCACCAGGCCCAAGCACTTGTCTCATGCATCCAACCTGGGCTGGTGATCTGTTTCACCATAGATAATATACATGTTTCGATGCTGTTCTCTCGAAACATCCCACCCTTGCCTTCTCCCACAGAGTCCACAAGTCTGTTCTGTACATCTGTATCTCTTTTTCTGTTTTGCATGTATGAAGAAACTTTTTAGGAAAGAAAATGTAAACGGGTTAAAAGGTTTTCAATAAACTCTATTAAGAGTAATTATGTTTTAGTCTGTCCAGATTTTGGTAAATTGAATTTCTAGGGTTGTGCTAAATTAAGTGATGGAAGTTTACTTAATGGGTAGGGTATTCCCAAATAAAATAAGATACTGCAACATTAATTACTGATAACTGGCTTCCTCTTATAGAGAAACTAAAGGTATTTTGGACTATTAATGAATATGTTTGATGCCATCTTGAGATGTTCTCTATAAGAAAGCAAATGTATTTTTTTAGAAATTATCATTGGTATTTATGTTCACCAATCTACAGAATGGTAATATAAAGGTCAGTTCGTGGTTGCTTAAGGAAAGTAGGATATGTGTTTTCAGTAAAGAAGGCATGAGGAATGGAATTACATTTTATTAAGGGATGTCTGATGTAAGAGGTGATTGTTTTTGGATGGGCAAATTAAGTGATGTCTGCAGAAAAGTTTTGGAAAGTGGACTCCAATAGAAGAATTTGGTGCATGGTACAAGTTTTCTTAACATGTTGAACTGCCTTCGATAACAGATTGTAATCTCTACTTTTAGATAATCTGCTCTGTATTTACCTTTGAAATCTTTTACTGTTAGTTTGGTTAAGTGAGTAACTTGTTTCACAATGACCTGTGATGATCTCCGAGTATTTTAAACCCTTTTGACATTCTTTGCAAAGCTTCCCAAATCTTTCTGACCTCTTTGAGTGCTTCAGAGAGCCTCCTGAAACACTGCAAAGAGAGATACAAACTAGGCTCACTTGATGCGTTGAGCTGCAAGGGAAGTGTTGTCAAGTGAGCACTAAGTCTTCTCAGGTCGTAGTGTATGGCAAATGTTACTAATAGAGATATTATAAAATTTATATGGAGCTCCTAAAATGCTGACATGTGCTGGTCAAATGTCAGCTGTCATTCTAGCTGTTATCTGCAAGTGAGGTATGTCACAGCAGTAACCAAGTTACTTTGTCAATTGTATCATAATCAGAAATTACTGGGTTGAATCTGTTTTACGGGTGTAAGGAGAACCTTCCCTTCAAACTAAGTACGACTTATAGTAATTTGGTAAATTACACTTTTGTAAGCAGAATTGAAATATTTAACTTTTTTTTTTCTCTATTGGCTCCCTCCAGAGTTTGTAAATGCTCAGGTTTCCAGCAGCTGTAGCAGATAAATTAGGTAAGCTACCTCACCATCAGGTGTAAAAATCTCAAGGCATTTTGGCAACCTTGCAAAGGGAGGAATTCCCCTCGATCTGTAGTTGAGACATGTGATAAGCTCTTGGCCTGACCTTCCTGGCCCTGAGAGGTTTTGTTTTTGTTTTAAGAAGTTCAGTCTGACAGTCCTTATAAAAAATTTCAGTAAAGCAAAACCCTATGATCAATTATAATAATATAAATTTTCAGATCAAGGTTGTTTTGTTTTGTTTTTCTGAGACCAGACATTTTTGCAAACAAATTAGTTTTAATTTGAATATATTTGGTAGAAATGAGAATAATTTTAGAGAGAAAAAGATTACGTTTCAATGAATGTTAAATCCCAGTTTCCTTAACAGAGGTCTGTATTTACTGACTCACTTTCCAGATAAGTTCCTTGCTGTTATGCTATATTAATGGAAAGTTACTTGAATGATTAAAAGGACATTCTAAATTTTATTTCTGAAGCTTATCTCAGTAATCTCAGTTCCCACAGCCTCCAAACAGGGGATTATGTATACCAGAAAGGACTGTCTTCAACCTGGGTGGAAGGGCCTTCTATCTGGTACTCTTAATGCTAGCTCATGCACAGTGAACTTGAAGGAGAATTGACCCTTGGATTAATTCCATCTTCTATAGGCCCCTGCACCGGACTGGTCCATAGACAGGGCTGCTGATGTCAAACTCAGCTTAAAAGGATGCTCAGACAGAGGAAATTACACTTAGACCAGGACAAAACGAAGATGACATCAGAAGTAGACAGCTTACCCAAGATGCTGGACCTGATTTGTATGATCATTTATAATGTTGTCTTGACTTCTTAGACCTTTTTTAAAATTTTTTTTCATTTTTTTTACTTCTTAGACCTTTGCATATAAATCAAACGTTTTTCTATCTTGAATATGATCCTACGCTAGTTTTAAAAAATGAATCCAAGTATTGGGTTGTGGCCAATTACCTGTGTCTAGTACTTCTAGGTTACTTTGGTGGGCTTCCCCACTCCAAGGCTCTAATTGTTGGCCCTTAGAAATTTTTTCTAGAAGAAAGAAAGTCCAGTCCTCTGTGGGCTACTCTTGATGTCACTAGGTGGGATCCTCTTGGCTGGCCAATTAAGAATGCCTGCTC